AGCAATTTTAAAGAGAAACAGATAATTAAAGTAAGTGCTGTTCAGCAAGATGCTGATTTGCCACCACCTGTTGTACTTCTGTTTTGAAACTGGGGGAATCAGCTCATCCACATCAGATGCTTTTTCCAAGATTTGTTTTTAAGGTGTATATTGAAAAAAAGAGTTGTTTTTCATCTCTTGAATTATGCAATCCCTTACTTACAAAACTTTCTCTACACTAGGCTTTGGACCTACTGTGCCATTTCAGTGACTTTACCATAATATCTTTAGGGGTTCATTTATCCATACGTACCCCGAAGCCTCTTGACGTAGTTCTATTTCCATCTCCTCACAACAGGGTCATCAGCAATATGTGATTAAAAAGAAACAGATCTTTATTAAACATGAGTGAATGCTGGGGGGAAAAAAAAATATTAAAAAATGTACTAGGACTGAAAGGAGGTAAAGCAAAGTGCAGCGCCATATCGAACGTGCCACTTGTCTTGCACCTTTTGTTTCTAGAGCCGTGCAAGCAGCCACAATGATAGTGTTATCTGCTGACTGCACTGCTGATCCAGGCAGCCTTTCCCCTCCCAGCTCACCCTGCACACTGACTCAGCACGGCGTAACTGTGGAAGGACAGGAAATCTTTCAGCCCCAGGACCCAACAAACCACCACCAGCTTTGTCTCCTTTTCTGCCTGCAGGTACTGCTACCTTGCAAAATAGTGCAGAGGCTCAGGGACCAAGGGGCTCATTAATATTAGCAAATTTAAGGGTGCCTAGGGATGAATGATGGTCATCTGAATTAGTAAACTATTCAAGCATTTTTTGGCATGCAGCAATTACTGCTCCCCAAAGCCACTCCCAGGCACAGTCCAGAGTCAAGGACCTATCTATCTCAACTAGCCATCAGCATGGAGCCACCCTCTTCTGAAGTAGATGGTGTTTACCAGCATAGATGCAAGCTCTTCTATGCCAGTTGGTCTCTGTGCCTAAATGAAGAAAATAAACCCATCAAAGCAAGGGACCACACTTTAGTGGCGTTAAATTTTGACCACACTTTAGCAGAGACAAGTTCACTCACAAAAATCCAGGGCTGCTCTGGAGTGACTTTCTCTGGGAAGCTGATGGTCAGCATTACAGTTACAACTAACAGTTACTAACTCTTACCAGTTGTACATGAAAACCATCACAGCAATGCTGCCCAAGGGATCCTGGGATTTCTTTTCAAGGAGACGAGGTCATGCTTGGATTAATAAATGTTGAAAACCACCACTTTCGGACAAGAAGAAAAAGATTTGGAGTTTGCAGTTTGAATACTGACATTAACAAGCTCACACATTAAGAGCAAACTTTACCCATACAAAGGTCTTAAAATTATCCAAACTGACACAAGCTCCCTATTGTTAACATAAATCAAGCTCAGAACAACAGGTTTATTTAAAAATACACTTTATTTACAAGACATTCAAGCTTAATTTTGAAAAAAATTAACTGTACATAAAACTCTAAGTAATTCTTCACTAATAGGTAGTAAAACCACAGTGAGATTTTCCATTCATTGGAAATTACATTTTGGGACATTATTTAAATCACATAATAAACAGAAAAACTGAATGAAACTTCTAAGCAACACAACTCCATAAATGTAACAATTTTATACAGTGACATCCCCACACCAAGGTATCGCTGTTCAAATAAAGTATTTAACATAGAAAGTGCTTCCACTGTACAGCAGAGTAAGTAATAGAACCTATAGAAATTTTCATAGTATTTAGATTCTCTTTTCAGAAGTGTCCTTCTTATCTGCTTTCCAATTAGTGATCTAAATTGCCTCTAAGGTGTTAATGAATGACTAATGAACCCTAGTGATTTCATTATACCTTTTCAGGCTTAGAAACCAACTTTTTAAAGAAAGTTGGTTCAGGCAGAGTGTTTATAAAGAATTTAAATATATATAAATATATATATTTATATCTCAGGATGACTACGTAGACAACACTTCCACACAAATCACAGGACATAAAATAGTCCTTGGAGTAGCTCACATCAAGCCATCCATAGACCTTGGGTGATGAACTTCCCTTTGGAAAAATACAGATGCTGGCATATTCCCTTCAAGGTTCAGAATAAAAGGGAGCATTCAGGATGGCAAGCGTTATAATTAAGTAGGGGAGGGGGAAAGGATAGGAAGAACTAAACAAGGTCAAGAAGTGGTTTGCAATATTAAAGTGTATCACATAGCAAAACCAGAAAGCAGGTGACTTTCAATAAAGTGGAGTGCGCTAATTAAACCAGTGCATAAAAGAGGTATTTCCAAACTCTATTACAGGTCCATCACCATGACCAGAAGGCTAGCAAAACCATACTGCTTTTATTGAAGAGACAAAGAATAAGAAAACCATGAAGAGTTGTGCCACAAGTCAAAAGGAAGTATCTCAAAGAACACAAGGAAAAGGAAGTCAACTGAAAACCTGGTAAAACCAAGACAATACTACTAAAAATAGCATCAGCTATTTTTCTTTACACAGAAGAGCAAAGGCAAGACCTGCAATAGAGAGTCACAGGAGAAGTGAAAATTAACTATCAAATTGACACTTTTGGTTAAAGGATAACACATGAAAAGGTGACAAAAAATTGAATTTGCTTTAAAGAAAGGCCCACAACTGATAAAGGCCAGTAAATTCCTTTTACATTCAGTGCCAAATATTTCTCTTCTTGCTCCAAAACTACCTGCGAATGCCAGCAAATGTTTCACTGTCATACAACTGGGTCACATGTATGACTGGTTATGGATCAGAGGGCCATATAAACTGGACAATTAATTGAAAAACACCTGTCTTTTAAGCATATTTCGCTTGCTACAGACAGTGATGGACAGATGGGGCAACCACCACAAAAGAAACTTAAATGCCATAATGGTGCTATCAGAAGGGAGTCATTGAAGAGGGCAGGGTTAGCACAATCAGTCTGCAGTCATTAGAAATTTTACAGTACTGAATTGCAGGGGAAAAAAGCAACTAAGCTAAAGAGGCCAGAGAAGAGATTTTTAATGACAGTGCAGTATGTTACAAACCTGAATTTAGAACAAGTGCCCACAGATAAGGGCAAATACTGAAATATACTGTATTTCAAAATAAAGCGAGTACACTTCAAGAGAGTGAGAAGAGCTATGCCAAGAACTGAAGGGAGATAAGCCAATACAAAACAGTCACCAAGTGGAATGAAGTCTTCTACAGAAGTGGAGAGGGGCCACCCAGTAGAGCTTAGTTGTGCCCCACTTAAGACAGAGGAGAAAAATATGTTGTTGCAGGACTCGAAGGAAGGCAAGCATACCGAGTCAGAAACCTTAGCTGGGTACCCAGAAAGTCCCTACACAGAAAATGCAGGTTCACCTCATCAATAATACAGCTCTGTTGGTTTTGCTTGCTTAAGTAATAAAGCAAATTTTAAATCTGCTTGTTTTCTAGACCTGAAGGTTTCTATAATCCCTGGTATTTTCCTATTTATCCACAGGTAACAATTACAGTACATTCAACCAGACAAGAAAAAAAAAAAAAGTAAAAAAGTTTAAGAATGTTACTTCATTGTATTTTCATGTTACAACACTTTTAAAAACTTTAAAAAATAGATAAGCACAGTTTTAAGAAACACTGGAAGGATAAAGTAAAAGATGGTCCATTTTGTCAAATGCCCCAATGCTACACATACTAGTTTTCTCTAATTCCAGAGTAAACAATACTGCCATTCCATCTTTCAGCCATTTAATAAAATGTATATATAAAATGATTACCTGATTTAAGACACAAATGCATAATTATGAAAGGGTGCTTGTTTTAGTATATCTGGTAAGCAAGTTCTCCCACACACTTTGTTCTTATTTTGGGAGCTTTCTACTCCAGTTCTGAAAAAGCCTATAAATATATTTGTTATTTACATGTAAAACATTATCATAGATGAAAATAAGGACAAAGAGAACAGAAGAAAGGGCTGTATTACTTTACGCTACATGCTTTCACAAGACAGAGCAATTCTTACAATGCTTCCTGATTTACATTGATTTGTGCAATAACTGCCAAGATCCTGCTGCTTTCACCTCTGCTGCTGCCAACAGAATCAAACAGTCTGGAGGATCCAGTTTTCAATTAAACTAACAGATAGTTTATTTATACAACAAACTTATGATAGAAGGCTATAAAATACATTCATTCACCCAAGAATCTGTTCAAAAGGGTAACTACAAATCTAGAAACGGGCTATTTAGACTGCAATCACTGCTTCAGTAAATACCACTTTCCAACCAGCAAAATAGCCTGCTGTGTGTTTTAATATTCACTGACTTAACGTAATTGCCCTTATTAATAAGGAGTTGGCTGCTTTCAAGTCAGTCTTACAAGGAGGTCCTGGTATTTTCCCAGCCCAGGCAGGAAATCAATTTTCCCTTTCTTTTAAGGTGTCACTGAGGTAAAGACACCACTATTTTATAGAGGTGTCCCCATAAATAAATGAATAAAATAGCCTGCCCAGGCCACACAGACCATTTGAAAGACCACTTTTGACAGCAAAATGTATTTGAAAGCTTCTGGATCTGGTCTGTATAGCCGGTGAGGGTAAGCACTACACTCAGAGTGGATTGGACAGTGGGTTTCCACTCCCAAAAACCTGGAGAACAGACCTGACCTAAATCCAGCACTGGTGACAGAGCACATCATCTTGTTTTCCTTAGAGCACCCTTACATGCTTTCAGAAAGAACAAGCAGCAAAGAGATAAAGGAACTGCTTTACTAAATACACTTTGAAATACACCATTGGGCACAGGGAGAAGGGGCAGGGCAGAGGGGAAGGCTTAGACCTTTAAAATACACCAGTAAGAAATAATCAAGACTAAACAAGGAAAAATTGCTGGGTTTTTGTTGTGTTTCTTTTTTTTTTTTTTTTTTAAATTTTATTTAATAGGTTACTGATGTGAAAGAGAAGCTGAAGCAAGCCAAAAAATTTTGGTCATCTCTCCCTGGCAACTTTTTTTTTTTTTTTTTTTTTTTTTTTTTTTTTAAAGCATCCTCTATGTGATAACACTGCATATAAAACTTTAAAGGGACTTTCTTAACACAATATTGAATTGTGTCTCAAGAATTGAACTGCAGAATTTTAACTGTTCATAATAAACATATTAGCTTATTTATTCAGCATGAATAATGACAGACACTCAGTGTTAAACATACTGCAACCATACTGCACAATGATGAATTAAGACTGTGGCTATTATAACTTCCATTGTCAGAAGGAAAAAAAAATAATAAAAGAGACTGAGTTGTGCAATCACAACAGTGAACAAGATAAAAGTTAACTGGATGACTGCCTTTCCACTTCCTAGATTCAGTACAGACAACATTAATAAGTATTTCTTTGCTTTCATGACAAGAGATCTATTCTTTAGCATGCTTATCTGTGATTAGGCTAGGACTCCAGCATTACCAGTAGAGAAGCAAGACCAGCTTCTACTCTCTCCCTAAATACAGGAGTCAGTCAAAAAAACAATGCAAGTCAAAATTCCTGAGTGCTTCCCTTCCCCCTTAGACACTTTTAATTTCATTCACAAACCCCACTGGCCAAAAGCACACACCACTGTTAAAAATGAATTTTCTATGCAAAAATGGGGTTTAAGGATCAGTAAAGCACCTCTGCTGAAGTCCGTTATAAATATACAGTACTTCAGTCCCGTACAATTGTTAACTGGCCACAGGGCTTTCAGGAAACAGCTTGCTTCAGCAGAAAAGGCCAGAGTTTCATTCCCAGTGCCACTGGCCATTAACTGCAAGCATCAGTGCAGACAGCAATACACCTCGTCCACTTCAACAACAGAAATTCACACACAGTTTGGTAAGGAACTGGGTTAGGCTGTATCAGAAAAATCTTAGATGAATGCAACACCCTTCATGGAAATATTAATCCTGATTTCAGATACAAAGGTGTTTTAGGTGTGTTTTGGTTTACAGCTAAAGCACAGAAATCTTTTTGCCATGCCAACTCCAGCTACAGCCACTGATGACCCTCTTCCCAGCCAGCATACGTTTGTTCTATGAAAACATTACACAGAGTAGAAGGAATTGCTTAAAGTCTTGTACTGCTCAACTGTGATTTGTCATCAGACATGCCACAATTTTTCACATTTTTAATGCCATCCTCTGCCTGTGGGTACTCGATAGGGATTTCAATATCACTTTTACTTGAACCATTGTCTTTAAGCTGTGCAGAAAGGCAACTATCGTTTTTCTTTGTACGGCCGTTAGTTTTAGCCAGAGGGTGCTCCCGCTGACTGCAGCACAGCTGAGAGTCACAGGATTTTGAGATGCAGGGTGAGCTGCACAGTAGATGGGAGGTCTTGTGGTCAACGTACTCAGGCTGGATGGTCACAGAATGGATCCCTGCTTCGTGAAAAACCTTCCGTATTTTATAAGCAGCATCTTGGTAATCAGTAGGGGTTTGGCACTTGATATGAAGAGTAGCGATATTCTTCCCACCTGCAAGCTCCCAAACATGCACCTCATGAAGGCTCTTAACCCCTGGAACACGAGCTAGTCTGTCAGCTGGAAGACACAAGAGAAAGATATTAGAGGCTTTGGTGTACTGGCTAATTACTAGCTTTCCCACTAAGACCCCTATCCAAAAGCAGTAGTCTCCAAATTATCTTTTTAAAAGAGCTGTACTTAATAAAGTACAGCTTTACAAATAAACTTCAGTTCAGCCTTCAGACGACCACAAGAACAGAGCACCCTTCCTTTTGGGTTCACCCCATCCCTCAGACTTCCTAATGGCCATTTACCAGCCATTCACAGAAGCAACGTGATAGCAGCACTTCCTTGGCCAAGACCTACATCTTCTGATTTCTGTAGCCCTGAGCATGGCAAAAATCCAGAAATAACCAGTGCTACCCCACAATTAACCAGTGTGGGCAATGCCGAAAGCTACAAAATTAACCAACCTTAATGGAAATCTCTAACCTGTTTTGGAAGAAGCTGCTGCAGGGTTCAGAAATACTGTAATTCAGTGTTGCTTCTGTCACAAACACCCTGCACAAAGCATTAACAGCTCAAGACCTGGTATTTTTGATGTATTGTTGGAGTACCACATTCTCAAAATGCATGCTTTAACTAATCCATAGAGATTTGAGTCATGTTGCTAGGACACAGGCATGTGACTCTCACAGTTCTTGAGAATTTAGAGCTATTATGAGTAAAAAATCCAAACATGTCATTTCAGAAGTAACATATGCATTGAAATATATCATTAAAATTAATAGCATTTCAACAACAAATCAGACTTACTCAGTAGTTGCATATTAACACCTTTGGGAACCATCTGCAACAAAATAGTTGAGGTCTCCTTGATAAGTGGGAATGCAGAAGACAAGATGATGAACACCATAATTACTGTCAGGCTTGGATCAATGTAGCACTGCCAATTACACGGAGCACCCTCCAGAGGAAGTATATGGAAGATTGTAGCAGTAACTACCACAACCACTGATCCAAGTGCATCTCCCATAACGTGCAAAAGAACACCTGAAACAAATAGCACAATTTCCATTAGTGAGTTGTTGTTGTCAGGTTGTCTGTTTGTTTGGGGAGGGAGAACAGGAAAGTAAAGCTTCATTTTTCAAGTCTGTCCCACTTGACATGAAAAACGCAATATTCCAAACACTAACATCATAACCAAAGTTTTCAATAACAGCTTTCAGAACAAAACAGCAAGGGAAATACTAACTCTGAACCACAGCTGTTAAGTGGGATGCATTATTAAACACGTAGGGTATGCTAGCAACTGCAGTCCAACTGCAATGCCATGGCAACATAAAATGTGTTTGCTTAAATGCCTGTGGATTACTAAGAGAATCTGGCACGTTATATCTCAATACCCAATTAAAAATTGATGACTAAATCTATCTGTTCTACCATGGAAGCTAAGAGAGCCACAGGCCACCCCCAGTAACAGTTATTCTCCTCCATCAGCGTCTATGATGCTGTTGAAATCTGAAAAATTACCTAAGGGAAATATAGGCTTGTTCCTATGGCTTCAAACACCCTCAAACTCCAATTTCTGGCTCAAGCTTGCTTACTCGTTGTATTAAACTTTGTCCTACCAACACTACTAGCCCTCAGATCCCAAAAGAATCAGCATCTGGTTTCAGTTAGTCACATGGATGCACAGTTTAATATGTGCCTGGACAACTCTAAATTGAGGGGAACACTGGGTACACATAGATGTTTTTTTGCACAAAAGGTAATGACACCAAACAGGCTCTAGTAACAGCACATTTTAGCTGCCCTTTCAACTACAATGAAGAAAGTAGTCTTCTTGCTATTAAGTTTTGGACAATTTTACATAATCTTCCCTTTTCCCACCATTGCTCAAATGCACTCCAGTTTTGTCAGTCTTTACTGTTCACGCTCAGATTTCATTCCAACCTATGCCTAATTCATAGCATTTCTAGATATATGAAGTTTATTTCTTTGTCAATACTTTTTATTCAGAGCCTGTGAGAGAATAAAATGGACCATCTCCTTTAACATCCGTATGACAAGCACTTTCAAGAGCTTCACTCCCATTTAACCATGTCCTCTGGGATGGAGAAGCTGTAAAAGGCTCTGAAACACATTAACACACAGCAAAGACTTTTGACTCTTTGCTGATGATGGATGCTGTATTAGACCTAGAGCCATGCCCGTGCTGCTGTTTCTTGCCAGCTCTTTGCATGAACATTGATCTTCAGTGTGAGAAATGAAGGAAATAACCACTGGAGCTCCTCTGAATCACTTGGGTCAGATAAGAAAGTACAAACTTCCAGCGAGCGCAGCTCTTTCTGCTGGAGTCAGGCATGTTCTGCCCCATTTGGCAGTCTCCCACAGGCCTTTACTCCTCCTAACAGTGTTGCAGTGTTTCCTTTTCATTTACAAATAATCCCAATTCAGCATGGGCTATCAGCTATTGCACAAACAAGGACAGGCAGGATTCAATTGCCAAAGCAACTAACTAGAGAGCACAGCTTAAAAAGCACAGGAAAATGTTTCAGAAAGTCTTCTTTTGAATTAAGAAAAAAAAGTAAGCATGTCAGAATGATGATAAATTATGAATTGAGAATATGGAATTTGGAAAATGCTTATTTTACATTATTAACATGGTTAATATGTACCTCTTGGTTACACATCACATAATGAGGACCTAGACAGAAATGAACCCATCTCCCTATACACCCCCTAAAGCTATGGTTATAAAATAGAATCAAATATAAATTTTTAGTAAAGTCAGTATCACATAATTTCCAACAGCTTGTGTTGGAAAGTCTGAACTACCCTGCATATGCTCAAGAAGTAAAAAGGATAATTTTACACTACAATAATTAACTTGGGCAGAATGACTGGATTGCTCTTCCTACCACTTCTAAAAATCGAGGAACCGATTCCTCTGCCAATCCTTTTATGTCCAGTTACGTTTTCAGGGAGGCTCCAATTCTATAATGTATAGAATTTTTTGTCAAGTGACTATGAAGTAAATATAGCCATATAATTGACTGACAGCAGCAAAGAAAAACCACAGATTTTGAATCAGAATTTTAAAGCCGTGTATCTGTAACACTTGCTGAAGAGGCAAGGAATATTTCTAAGGACAATAAAAATAGATTTTGCAAAGATGACAGATTAAAGCAAAAGTAGCACTTAGAGAAGAAGTCTCTTTTTAAAAATTAAAGATTACAGGTATCTTAAAATATCTGATACAAAACTCCTTATCCTTCAGACATATTTGAAAGTTTCATTCTGCTTAAGCATTTTCATTCAGGCAAGGCCTTCCCTAAAATACACTCATCGATTTCTTACCCTTCTCTCCTCCGTTCCTGAAAGTGACAGTTTGCTTTTCCTGCTCCAGTAATCTTACCACTATAATACCATAATATCCAGTGACACACTTTTCTAGACATTCAGGAAAGTGTTGTGGCTCTGGCACATGGTTTGATTTCCAAAGTGTCTTCCCTGACAGACACATTTATCCAAGTCTGAAAACACTTTTGAAAGACAGGCAGCCAGACACACACCAAAAAAAGCCCAGGTGCCTGACTGCCATGTCGACCTCTTTAAGCTGAATTCATTCAGTGGTGGCATCATTCAGTGATGCCAACAGACACAACTTTGGAGGAATATCAGATGCTGATAGGTGACCATAAGAAGCCTGAAACTACCAACCTGTTTCAGCTGACAGCCCTTTCTTTGAGGGACAAACTCAATGTTTAAAATACTGAAAGATACCTGCTTTTGGCTCTGCTCAGAATAGGTATGTAAAGGTGTATGCATAAAAACACCTTTACAGAGAGGGAAAGAGACAAATGGATAATTTATTTCACTCTGCAGATACGCAGTGACCTGCCAAACTACAACATAAGAAGGGCTGATACTGTCACAGACTCTCTCAGGGGCAGGTTCACAGTTCAAGGACCTGCTAAAACACTGTGCTGAAGCATCAGTTTCAGCACCTTTTTCCTCGTGCCGACTACAAAACATGGTTAACCTTGGGATTTAAAGAAGTTCTGCTTTCTGCCCAAAAGCATTTTAAAGCTGAAAACTGCTCAACTACTACAGCAGTGACACTTAAAGAAGCGCCTCAAAGATACCAGCTTTACCTTCCTATAAGGCCTTTAAGTGACCTGAGCTTAGTGCAAGAGGCTTTGTCTCCTTTCCAAAAAGTTCAGCTGCACTCTTCTAAAGAATTACAATCGAAATGTAAACACACTTGGAGCCAAAGTAGCATCACACTATTTTGTTATCATCTATGCAATTTCATGCAACCAAAACCTTTCTGCTAAAGATAACTGGGTCCATATTCACAGAAAACTCCTGTGCTTTTGTTCTACTTCTTACTGATATTTGAGAGGAAAAAAAAATCTGAAATGGAAACCAGAAAGCGTTTAAAGTCAATATAGCATTAGCAGTATACTCCCATGCTGTACCTCTGATGTTTAAGGCTTCAGACTTCCTCTCTCTTTTCTTCTCAGGCCCCTCTCCAGGGCTTTTTTGGTCATTTGGTGCATCACCTGCATTCAAAGAAGAAACGCTGTGTTGTGTATAAGTTCTACAAACAGAAAAAACATCATCCTTCTCAACACCAACTTATTTCAAAGATTACAAGAAAAAAAAAAAAAAACAAACATAAACAAAACAAGCCAAAATATCTGCCAAGCAGCTCTCTGAGCAACGCCTCCCTCCCCTGTCCCAAAGGGACGCCCAGTAGTAGCCCGGTGTGAAGCACATGGTGAAAGACACTGTGGGTGTCCAAGTGAGCTTAGCAAAATTCCCCAGGGCCCACGGGTGGGTTTGGGGCTCCAAAAGGGCCCAGAGGATGGCTCTGGCAGCTTGGCAGGCGCCAAGAGAGGACAGGAGGGAAGAGCGGGGACGGGGAGGGATGGGGAAGGGTGCGAGGGCCAGGGAGAGGTGCCGGAACATGAGGGTGGCGAGGTGAGGCAGCAAGGATGCAGCCGAAAGGCACCTGCTTCATCCGTCTGCCCCGTCGGGGCGCTGCCAGGAATGGCCGGCAGCATGGCAGCAGCGGGCAGTGGGGCAGGTGGCTGGTGACGGCGGCGGCGGCAGCAGGCTCCCCAGTCCTGGAAGACGAGGAGCCCCACGAGGTTGACAGCGAGGCCGAGGGTACCGACGATGAGCACCAGCTGGGCATCATCGATGGGCTCGGGCCGGGCCAGGCGGAGGATGGCCTCCACGAAGATGGTGAAGCAGAGGGCGGTGAGGAAGACGGCGTTGCTGAGGGCCCCCACCGCCTCGGCCCGGCTGTAGCCGTAGGTGGCGCGGGGGCCCCGGCGGCTCCGGCGGGCGATGCGCCCCGTGGAGAGACCCACGCAGAGGGAGATGAGGTCCGACAGCATGTTGAAGGAGTCGGACACCAGCGCGATGGAGTTGCCCAGGTAGCCCGACACCAGCTCGGCCACGAAGAAGCCGACGGTGAGCACCAGCATGAAGATGAGGCGGCACGTCTTCCCCGAGTACCGCCCCATGGCGGCGACAGCGCCAGACCGCTCCGCACCGGCGCCTCTCTCCCTACCCCGCAGCCCCAGCCGCCCCGCAGCCAGCGTCGCCGCCAGCCCGCAACAAGTGCGGGGCCTCCTCCCGGCCCTTAACGCCGCCGCCCGCCCCGCCGGGCCCCGCCCGCCGCCCTGCCCCGCGGGGAGGGCACTGGCCGCCCGCACACACACACCCCCCGGCACCCACAGACGCTGCGGAGCGCCCCCCCACGCCCCCCCCCGGGGCTGAGGGGTCGTTAGGGAACGAGCGCAGCTTTGTAGGAAGTGAATAAAATAGGTAATAAATAGGAAATGAAAGGGGGTGCGGGGAGACGCCCAGCTGGCAGGCCGGATGGAAACGGGCCCGCTCGGGGCGGGGGGGGCGGGGGACAGAGCCCCCCAGACAACACCAAAAGGCCCCCGGGGCAGCAGGTAGCTCTGCGCTACCCAAATCGGGGGAAGTTTCAGTGCCGGGTCCCATAATTGTACTCTTTTGGTGCTTTATTGATGGCATAAGCGCGAAATCGAGGGATAGGGTGCCATCTACTGCACCGGGACACCTCCTGCAGCTGGCCTCTCAAAAGGTGTCTCAAAGCAGCACCAACGAGCCTGTCGTCAGACTATGAGAAAAATAGTTTCACGAATTCACGGAGTTGTCAGAGTTGGAAGGGACCTCTAGAGATCAGCTAGTCCAACTCCCCTGCTAAGGCAGGGTTGCCCAGAGCACATCACTGAGGCCTCAGACTGCTTCTCCAGAGAAGGGGACTCCACGACCTCCCTGGGCAGCCTGTTCCAGGGCTCTGGCACCCTCACCCTGAAGAAGTTCTGCCTTATATTTGAGTGGAACTTCCCATGTTCCAGCTTGTGCCCGTTGCCCCTCGTCCTATTGCTGGAAACCACTGAAAAGAGTCCGGCTCCATCCTCCTTCAACCCACCCTTTAGATACTTGTAAGCGTAGATAAAGTCTCCCCTCAGCCTTCTCTTCTCCTTGTGGTGGAAGTTTCAAGTTTCATGCATTTTTTTTACCCTACAGAATAATCTATAAGAAGCATAATGAATTAGTAAACCTCTCTCTTGCTTCTGTAGATTTTGTTGTTGTTGTTATGACAGTTCTTGAGAGAGTGATGCCTCTAGCATGCAAATGGAAAAAAGACAGAGCTGGACTACTAATACAGCATTTCGGGATGATGGGAGCCACTGGATAATCAAGGAAGGTGCCGGGAAATTAAGCTGTTTTCAACTCTGGGGCTATTGTCAGAAACAACATCTAGCATCACTAGATTTTCAGTGACCCCAGCCTGGACTAGAGATCGATCATCATACAATTCTTTTTCATGTTTGACTTCAGAAGCAGGTAAAAAAGAAAATGGGAACTCAGCCCAAGAATAATAAACTTAAATAAAAGACATAAGACCTAAAGAAAATAATCTCCTTAAAATTATATCCCACGAGAGTCTGGAGTGGGATAATCTCAATAAAGCAAGTCTCAGTAATGCAAGGGGCACACCATCGCTGCAGGTACTGCTTCAGCAGCTATGATTCATACTGAAGTGCCACATCACACGTCACCACACTTGACAAAGCACACGTCACTAGCAGATAATAAACCAGCATGGCCAGGGAACACTATCCAGCCCCTCCTAGCAAAGATGGTGCTCTCTACAACCAGAAATTCATTAAAAGCCTTCGGAATTTCCTCTTTAATCTAACTCTGAAGCAATTTCATTGTTAACCGCTGTTAATTGAGTTCGATCCCTTGCTTGAATAAATCTTCTAAATGAGGCCCCTCAATTCCACCTAAATTCTATGTAAACAACCAAAGCCTTTCTTGCTTATAACCCTAAACCTCTGGAGTAGATATAGGTAGCCATTCAGGGGACATTCCCCTGTATATCTGCAAGAATTAACACACAGAACTCCCAATTGACTGGTGATTCTTCTGCATGTCCTTTACACATTCAATGCCCAAGCAATGAAAGTACCCTGCAGTATTCAAATAAATGTATTGAAAAGAATCTTATCATAAAAGATAAACACAATAATGAGAGAAAATAGCATAATTTACATCACAAATTTCAGCTCTATCATGACATCTACCAACATAAGATGTTAAACAGTTGTGCGAAATAAAAAAAACCAGTGTGACATAAGTAGAACAAAAAAAAAGAAAAATATATGAGATATACAGGAAGTTAAATAATCTATTACATATAAACTTTAAAATGACAGACTATATCTTCTTTACTATTATTAATGCTAGAAAATTCCACCTCTGGGACTTCACTTACAAGCAAAAAGTAATTTACTGAAGCCCAGCTCATTGTAACTGTGTGGGACTGAAAATAATTTCAAGTTGTTCTTATTTTAGGAAGACGTATAATACAGTAACTGGAACATCACTAATCCTCCTGCACAAAATATACATTAATTCTCTTTGAAAAAAAATAACATGTCATAGCCCTGAACCCACTTCAAAAACATAAAAATATCACTGTTCTGTAGAAGAGATAGTGCTAAAAATACAATTTTCAGCAAATAAGGCTGTGACTAAGTCCTCTGACATGGAGCACAATTAGAGATGACTCACCGAAGGAGTCAGAGGCAATACATGTTCAGAGCCTCAGCTCTGAAACTGTGTCGGCTGATCCATTGATTCTTCCTCCTTCTGCCTGTCAAGCTCACACATCTCCATCTGCCTCTCACGATACAGCGTCAGTCTGAACGCCACACACTGACAAAGGAACAGAGCAATTCTGTGCTGGGTTAGACCAGAAGTCCATCTCTGAATTATTTCCAGTTCCCAGCTACATCGTCTGGAGGTGAGGGAACCAAACTTGCACAGTCTTCAGAGCACAAGTCAGCCACAGATTCAAACAGAGGCACAGCAAAGGTTCCAACTATCTCCTTTACTTCTTTCTCAGTGCTGATTTGCTTTGCCTTCTGAGCTTTTAGCAAATGTTTTTATGGAACTGATCTCCTTCTTTCTATTTCTCCTCTTCTGACCTTTTATCCATGCAAGGACTTTTCCCTTTGCTCTATGGCTGCTTACAAAGCCACTTGGAAATCCAAGCTTTCACTCCTCGTTACACATACAAGCCTCCCTGGCCCTCTTCATCCAGGTACCACTACCACTTCAAGACAAACGACTCCTTAAAACTGTCATCTGAACAAAGCTGCATCTATCATTCCTGTTCAGTAAGCAGTCACTTCCAATAACAAGAATAATTAATGTAACTCACTCTTCAGAATAAAGTCTGTGCTATCCCCGTAGCTCTTTTGCACTTTGATCCTCTTCTGCACAGAACAAAAGAAAGACTTGATCTTGCACACAGGAGGTACCAACCCCATTACCAGGGTTTTGACTCAGGCTCTTCCTCCCTTGTGGACACAAATGTTCTGCTTGCACAGATCCACTTGCAGCCTCAGAAAGTTTGATCTCAGATGCTTTTGGAAAGGACCTGTGTTTCTGGTTGCTTTGCAGCGTGCTTAGTACCTTGTGTGTTTTATACTGACTGCAGATGTTCAACAATATAATGTTACAGTTCTGCTTACTTACCCAGTACTGAGATTGCCTGAATAAGCTACGTACTGTTAAACAAAACAATCAACCTAAATTATCCCCAGACCCTCTAACTATGCTGAGTTGAACAAGTCACTCATAGGAGGTTGAGAAAAAGTTGTCCAACCCCTTAGTTTTCTGAATTATTTGCCAACTTTAGTTTCAGCTACAATACTTCTAGAAAAGCTATTACTGCAGTTTCCTCATCCTACTCAGGCACAGGAATTGGTAAAATTCTTACCAATTGGTGACATTATTACGAACAAGACAACTTTCCTTGTGAACCCCAAAGATGCAAAGCACTCCCGTAAGCTTCAAGACTTCCGTGCACCACGTTTTTAAAGTTCTCTACACACCAATTTTTAACACTTACCCATTGGCAGCCAGACCCTCTAGCCAACAGGCTATTCCCACCTGTAAGGGGATGCTTAGGTACCAGTAAGAGCAGGGTAAATATATATGATATTTCCCCTGAACACCCTTCAATCTTTCAAGTATTTTCAGCTCAAGTGAGTTTCCAAGCTAGATAGCTGTATTTAGTAGCCCTCAATTAATTTCTCTTCCACCTAGTAGTCCAGCCTTTCACTCACTGAGGTAGATTTCAACATTGCTTGGCCACAAAGTCCACACATCTTCTACCCATGCTGTGAAGAATCACTTCATTCTCCTTATTTTGAACCTGGATCCTTCTAGTTTCAGTCCGTATACCCTCGTTCTTGTATCAGAGAGCAGATCAGTCAATGACTACGGACCTTCCCTAATGCCACTCTTGGTGGTGCAGGCTTCTGTCACACCCTCTTCAAGTTACTCATTTCCAAGGTGATGGGTTAAAATCTACTTAGTTGTTCCTTGCAGAGAAGCTATTACCAGCCTTTGACCACAGGATATCTCTGCATTATTATGAAATATGGTAACAGTAACAATATAATTTTCTTCCATTGCTGAATGAAGAATGAAAATACGGTCACTCATAGTCTTTTTTGGATAGTAAAAAAATAGTGAAATTAGAGAACTAATTATGAACACTATAATTAAGAGAGATCACTCTTCATCCTGCTTATTAAAGTCCTGGAAGAGATTACTTTTTAACCCATCATAAAAATTATTTACAAAAGGTATTTCAGGAGTGACGTAGAGGAAACTAGAGAATGAAGGAAACAAATGCCCACCCACACATCATTGTTTGCGATAAAGGAATCATGTCTCTTTAAGACTGTGCGGGGAAAAAATATTACATTTGCACTAAAAAGCTGAGGCTGACTCTCAGCACATTACATTTAAAGGCAGCATCTCTAGCTGTAAGAGCCTGAAATGTAATGGGTGGGTGAGAGTGGACCTTCAGGCTTTATTCCAACAAGACCCGGTGACAGCCTTGAAGGCTCTCGTGAAGCTTGTGTAGCTATGCTTCTTTAAATTAGAAATACTGGACCAAATTCATAGCATACCTAGATCAAAACAACATGGTCAGCTTTTTCCACAGATAAATCTGAC